TTTTTTAGCAACAGGAAATTCTTGCGCATGCAAAATGCCGTCGGCAAATGGAAATGTAAAAATTAGCCGACTGCGCATGCATACACTAATGCAATTTAATGAATTGCTACAATTCATAGATATGTATATGTATGTACGTATATATGTGTATGTGCATAAGTAAATATATACATACATACATACATATGTTTCATTAAATTGTAATGAAATAGTTTTATTGAAAAAGTTCCACTTTACATGACTTTAGATAATTGCGGAAAAAGTCGAAAAAATTGACTAAGAAAATCTCATCAACATAGCTGAAACAGAAAAATTCATACATGTTTGCAAAAATGAATTTGCAACCAGCAAATCGATTTCACGCAAATATCATATTTTCGGCAAACAAGCAAATGTACAAAAGCCCGCTCCTTTCCCCGTTTCCCCGCTTCTTTTCTACACTTGTCGTTCCGACTACCATTTTTATTTTACAGTTTGTTTTGATCCGACACAAGCACGCGCCTGCCTCCGCAAGCATCCCCTCTGTCTAGTGCTTATTATATTTCTGTTCCTCTTTCCATTTTGTTCTTATTTTTTCATTTTGCTTTGAACTATGGTAAATTTGCTCAAAGTGTGGTGGCACGGAAAAATTTTTGGTATGGTGGCAGCCGACACTTCTCTACCGACACCGTCGGTCGAGTGGTGCACTCGTCGACGTGTGGTATATTTGGCCGACTGCACCCCAAAATTTCTGGCAGAAATTAGTTCACAGAGAAAATGCGCCTTCTCAGTTATAAACGTTCTCTGTATAAACGTTCTCTGACGGAACTACCGTATTAGCCGTCATCGATTCGACACTCGCTGCTTACTTTGTTGCAAATCCGGATCGTGCCGCGCCTGTCAGTCGAAACACCACACGCTCTTGCATTTCGAACGCTCAACTGCATCGTTAATCAATAGTCAAGCCGAAGCTTCGTCGGCAGCTACAGTTCAATCCAACGCTATGACTGCATCGTTATCTGTGTCGCCTAGTGCCCCAGTATCTCCTTCTGATGCTGTGTTCCTAGCTACTGCCGTCGTTCTGGTAAAAAATCGTGCTGGAAGCTTCGTGCCTTGCAGGGCGCTTTTAGATTCTGGCTCCCAGTTACACTTTGTCACAACTCGCCTTGCAAACCAATTGCAGCTTGTAAAAGCAAAATCTTCTGCTACAGTATCTGGCATTGGAGATGCCAATTTCTCAACGGAGGGTTACTCAGTCGACCTCGTACTGAAGTCGCGGACTTCAGATTTCCCAACAAACATAACAGCTGTTGTTGTGCAAACCATAACCGACAACCAGCCTGGCTGCTCCGTGAGCACCAACGAGTGGGATGTTCCGTCGAATATACAACTAGCTGATCCTGGGTTCAACTTACCGCAGCGAATTGATCTGCTCATTGGAGCAGCATTGTTCTTCGATCTGCTATGTGTGGGGCAGATACGCTTGGCATACGGTTTACCACTCCTTCAGAAAACACGCCTCGGTTGGGTGCTATCTGGAGGGGGGCAACAAGCTCCAAAACTATCATCTTTTGTGGTGCGACGGAAGTCCTCCAGTGATATTATTTCCACTCGGTTGGAAGATTTAGTGCGTCAGTTCTGGGAAATAGAGCACAACTTCGAGCCGATCTCTAAGGCCTCCCAAGAAGATATCGACTGCGAAGCCCACTTCCGGGAAAATTATTTGCGATTGTCATCAGGCGAATACTCAGTTCGTCTTCCCATGAAGAGTGGTGTGGAGGCCCTTGGAGACTCCTATTTGCAAGCTCGTCAACGCTTCGAAAGTCTTGAACGAAAATTCGCTCGTAACCCTGAGCTTAAAACAGAATATAGTAAGTTCATAAAGGAATATCTGGACGTTAATCACATGTCGCTAGTTACCAATGAGGTTTTTCAACAATGCAAGTATTTTCTGCCGCATCATTGCGTCATCAAGGATGACAGTAGCACAACAAAGCTGAGAGTGGTTTTTGATGGCTCTGCATCCACTACTTCGGGCTTTTCGCTGAACGACCTACTCATGGCAGGCCCAACTATTCAGCCGAAACTTTTT